ACATTGCACTTTGGGATCTGTTGATTGTTGAATAACTGTTTATAATAAAGCTGTTTATAATAATTACGAAACAAACAAAATGGCATAATAGTCATTCTGATATAACACGCAGATCAAATCGTCAGTTAGACGTATCCATTTTATAGGAAGAGACATTTGCTTGTATCGGAATAGAATTAAGATTAAGATCTTCCCAAAATTCAAAACTACCACTTTACATGTCGAGATCGACAATATTTCTAGATCTGTGCAAGTATTTTCATGCATCATATTTAAAGTGCATAGGCAAGTCACATGGCGTTTGGTTGCGCTGAAAGTCCGATACTGACTAGCTGTTGGGCGTGGCCAACAGACCTACGACACTTCCGCCAATCAATAAGCTTCAATCCCCTCCACGCCGTACTCGAGCAATCTGACGGTTTGTGGAGATATTCACTGGTTTCTCCTTTCGTTCTCAGGATCTTATCCTCCGCTCTGGACCTCATCGGTGAAAAAATATCTTCTAATTGATTACTCGAATGACAAGATTTGTTTATTTTGTTCATCGCGTATCGACGAATAGATTATTGGTTTTTATTTTTTAGATTAGCAATTTTCTCAATAAATTCATTATGTTTCATCATTATTTCAAATGTCATTTAAACTATTTAAAGTATATTATTTTAAATAATCATTGATTAATTATAAAGTTGCATTAATAATTATCACATTTCATGAAATTTTTAGAAAAAAATATATATATAAATTTAACAGCCCAGATTACGTTGATATAATATGATATGATTTAATTATGTCAAAAATGTCTAATAAGCTTTTGCCATTTCTAAAAATATATGTACAATTTTACGTTGAAAGAACGAAATTTGGTTTAAAGCTACAAAAATAAATATATCGTAAAGCTAAAGATAATTAGTATAGTATTTATTATAAATAATAGAATTTTTGTTAAAAAATTCGAGAAATTTTCGAATAATAACATCAAATGTTTACAAATAGACATGGTAGATAATTCAGAGGGATTTATTCTAAGATGCATGATTATTTACGTACTACCTCGGTCAACGTCAAAGTATAATTATCTTCGCACGTGATAGCTTGCTATGGTGCTTACCATGATAATTGGCGGTTGTCGGATCCGCCGGCGGTGCTGGCGAACATCATGGCACGCTACGCACTCAACATCACGTGAGATTCTGACAGATACGTTACGAAGCTTGATCATCGCGATCATCAACCGCTTTACCGACACGTCACGGTTACCGTGGTAACTCTCGGCGCACATCACTGACGGAAGGAAAATCTACGGCAATGGAGCAATGGAGTAGCAACTTTGAGCGTGGTCGACCGGTGGTTTCGCACTCACTTATATCGAATATTCTATTTCGCGAGACAGCGCGACAGCGCGATTCTCGAGAGAACGTAACACTTAATTATCATATCGACTGATGTATGACGACGCGAGCTCCTCCGAATTGTCTCCGGCGAAGCGACAACCGGCGGGCCGAAATGAACGACGTTTCGGCGAGACAACGAACGATACGGCCGATTCTCTTTCGCGAATATCTCGCGAACTAGACCGAAATGCCGGACGAATATGACCGGCAAACGCGTTGAAACGTCCGTACGTTCGGCGTTCGACACACTATACGCCTTTGGCTTTGCTATACTATAAGGTAGTAAGTGAGTGAGAGACCAAGCGGGACCCCTACCGGCGCAGCCGTACATCTTAGTATTATGGGCAACTCACATTGGAAGATACGCCATCAAGCATAGCCCTAGCGAGAGCGCGAGAGCGAGCGAGCCGAGCCGAGCGATTGTAAAAGTTTTAGGGACACTTTGCGAACACCCTCTCCCCTCTCTTCGCCACTCTCTCGCTCTCTGGTGCGCTACCCCACGGAACCGCGCCCTGGTTCTCTCACCCCGCCGTCCATGGGAGACTAGAAACGTCAGAGAGAGGTGAGAGAGAGAGACTGTGGTGGTGCCACCTCGAAATCCCCCTCCTGATTCTCCCTCTCCGACTAGCAGCTCGACCACGCCAGAGAAAGATGGCCGGAAGAGAGACAAGACCCGGGAAAGAGCGCGTAGGAGAGATATGGTTGCATTCTTGTAGTTGTTGATAACAAGAAAGAGCTCGAGAAGGACAAAAAATGAAATGGTAGACATAAACTTCTTGCTTACTCGGTAAAAGAAAGAGGGTGGCGTTAATAATCGTTCTTTTTCTACTATTCGTTCCCTTATTCTCCTTATCCCTCCTTGTTCTCTTATTTTCTCTCCTTTTTCCTCCCCATTAGAAGGATGTTGTTTAAATTCGATGATGAGACCAACAAAGACGAGTGTCAATGAGCCTAGAAACTCATCGCAGATTAAAGAAAAGTTTGTATTGGTACACGCCGTGGTGATCGCGTCATCGACATGGGCGCGGCTAGAAGAGGAGAGCTAGTAGCATGGGAAGGAAAGGAAACGAAAGAAGTGGAGAGGCGACAGCAAGGAAAGAGAAAAACAGCTTGAAAAGGAGAGAGGAGATAGCGTCTCTGCCTATCGTCGCAGCTAGAATCTAGAGGAGAGGGTTGTTGAGAGAGCAAGAGACACTGCGAAATGAAGACAAAGAGGAAAATTTTCTGCCAACATGCGGTTTCTTGCCACTGTGCGGTGGCGCCCTCCGCTATCCAACAAGAACCATGCCGTTCCTCCCACACTTTTTCCTGATCTATCTCGCAATCGGTTGCATCTACCAGTCGCTGGCCGTGAATGACAGGAGATGAGACTTTGCCGTCATCGCGAATGATCTTCGCAGTTTTTCCTTGGCGAAACTAATGACCAAATCGAATTTTTGATTTGATATTGCAGATTGATTCATCATAGATAATATGAATTAAATACATCTATATAAGTCTATATAATGATGATACATTTTATTTTAAAGATGATATAAAAAAATTGTAAAAAGAGTGCCAATATATTTAAAGCAAAAAAGAACAGAAAAAAAACAGAAAAGAAACCAACTTGTTTTGTTATCTACCTCATTATACAGTTTTGAATTCAACTCCTATTCAAACTTATCGTTGGCAATTCGTTGTTGAAAAATAAACGCGTTGTTCAACTACGTTTACTGAGTTGTAAAATTTATATTTCAAGATTCAATTTTTATTAAATAGACTAGTGATGTATAAATATATAATTTTGACTTTGACTTTTTATGAAAGACATTATTAATTATTCTGAATAAAATTGTTCATCAACACGTAAATTCCACGTAAATTCCAAATATAACATACAGGAAAAGAGCGAACATTTCATTAAAAATGAATTGATCATCCATAGAAATTTTTGATGTTGTGAAATATTCCTCGATTACAAACGATATATCTATGTAGACTGCGGGAAAATGCTAATTTGATGTTAGCTCGGTAGCAAGGCCGGTTTCGGATTAAAATGTGAAGAAACTTTAAGCACCAACTGAAGCAACTATGCGCACATCGAGACATAACACATGTCGCGATCGTCGTCCATATTAATCCCAATTAAGGCGAGGGTACCGAAGAGCAGGTTAAAAGCTCCTCCTTCTCTTCACTCTTCACGGACGGGGATGCGACGATATAATAAAATCGTAAAATGACGGCACTGACCGTGTGCTTGGCGATATTATCCGTTCGCGATGGGAGCCGGCCATGAGGGAGACGGTCCTCCACACGTGAAGCATAAAATACCCGGTTAAATGCGCCGAACGAATACGAAAAAGTCTAATATGAAGAACCTCGCCATACCACACTTAGCAAAGACGACGAGTTCGAGTTTATGCCGCGGACCTCGGCTAACCAATCAGAGCATGGGATTTTGCGGGACGAGTAAATAAATTGGACGGGTCGCGGCGAACTTCCTGGAATCTGGGGGACATCTTTCGCGGCATATACTTCTGAAACTCGTATAGAACTGGAAAAGATAGTAGAACAATGTTGCACAAAATGCGGAAAAGTTTGAAGAATATATAACAGCTTTTATCATTTTATTCCATTATTATTATAATTTTCTCTAATTAAAATAAGTATTACATATCATTTACATTCAATAGATAATATATGAGAATGATATAAAGAATTTTAATCTCTTGACTAAAATTAAAAATTATTATATTCTATTACGCATACAAGTATTATTTTACTATTTTATTATTAATTATATTATTGCAAGAATATATGTTAGCAATCATCTCTTCTTATTCTTATCTCATGTCTTCTTATATTTTCTGATAAGTTTCATAAGCAGCAGCTTTGCTGATGTCTACCTTTTGTATATCAAATTATTTATATATCTCAGTGTAACTTGCTGATATGCAATAAATTAAATTAAAATATTATATTATATTATTATAAATTATTGCTATATTTATATAGAAAAATATACATATTTCTCTATATAAATTCTAAATGCACTTCAAATGCAAATTGTTCTGTATCAATATCTATATTGTGCAGAAAAGCAATAAAAGATAAAAAGTAACTACATAAGAGACCATAAAAATTTTCTATTTCGGGCGATCTTAAAAATATTTCTTCTTGAGAGAAGTGAAACGAGAGAGACAATTTCGTTCACACGTAGCTACAAAGTAAAGACGAAGACAGAAGGAACAAGAAGAGCGAGAATCGTGAGGCGGTATGTGGTAGGAGAATGAAGTTCCACATTTCAGCGGCAGTCAACATGGTGGCCATGACGAAGACGATTCTTGCTTCGGCAAGAAAGGCCAATGGACAACGACGGTCTCGTCCCACCCCATAATGCCCCATATACTTGGCAATTTATGCGCCGAAACGTATTAAATAGCTTTTTACCCCCACTATAATCCTCTCGACGGCGCGCAGGCGTCTCTATAGCCATGATGGTAACTATATATTAAAGCCAATATTTTTAAATGCGATACACCTACATTGTAAATACCCATGTTTTGTGCGATCCCTTCTAAGAATAGACCCACTTGCGACATTCAGCTATGTTGAGAGATGCGCAGAGACGATCATACCATGCGCGCTACGGCAGGAAAGAAGAGGCAGATTCCGGTCTTTATGTTGTCGAAGGCTTCGAAAGCCTCCTAATGTCTTAGAAGACTTGGCGAAGACGACTAAGAATGTTGCGAGGTGTATTTTAAGGAAGCATAAACGGTTAATCGATAACCGAGCAGTAATCGCGCGTTCCTGGTCATAAATCCTGGATAATATACATGCAAATGCTGTGCAATATAGGAATTTAAAGAGCTAGCCGATTCTTCTTTTCATTAACGACCTTCCGTCTTCATTTCACGCGAGTCACGCAACGGCAGGTGTCAACGAAAATTCATTAAATTCTTCATCCTCATTATGCGTTCTATCAAATAGTGCATTTTTCTATTTATTAGTCAGCATTAGTAATGCTGACATAATTTTATATCTTATTTATAAAATTTCTATATGTAATATACAGTTAAATACTATTTTTTGTAATTTATATTTTATTCAAATATGTATTATCCAAGATTAAGTTGTATGTTTATGTAATACACATAAATATAAATATGTATATATATAT